ACAGAGGTCAAAAAGAAAACATATTTCCGTCTTCTTCTTTTTGTTCTCTACAGGCAATGGTGATACAGTGGCCTGGAGTCAAGAAGACCTGAGTTCAAATGTGGTCTCAGACATTTCCTAGCTGTGTGATGCTAAGCAAATCACTTAACCTCCATTTGCCTCAGTTTCCTCAACTAGAAACATGAGGATAATAACAGCATTTTTCTCCCATAATTTTGTGAGGATCAAATGAGATTATATTTATAAAGTTGCTTAGCACAGTGCCTGGAAGAGAGGCAGTAATTTTTTTTCAAGTTAAATCAATTATGTTTCCTTAGAAGAGCCCTTAAATTATGAATTAGAGGTGAAACTGTTAAAGTACTTTTATTCTGAGGAATGCAATGCAATGTTGAACATGTTTGTTTTATTTCAAATACAAAAAAAAATCAAAATCAGCTAACAAATGTATCCTGTGCTCTATATAACACAAAGAAAGCACATTATCTATTTCCTTTAAAGCAACCTTACATGTGTTCTTTTTACAAGATTTCTACATTTCAGGTGCAAATGAGGCCTTTAAAATTGTTCCTTTACATAATTCATTCAGTTTTTTGGAAGTTTCTATTATGAAATCAAGCCTAGAATCTTAGTGCTGGAGGAAACCTCGAAGATAGATCATTTAGGGAGCTGGAATACGAGCAAATAAACTTTTAACAAAAGACTCAGCACAGTAAATCATTTTGATGAAGCAGGTACCAAAAGCAGGTACCATTAGCCAATGGAATTGCTGAGCCACTTACAGTGACCTTTGAAAGAGCCTGGAGAAAAAGAAAAGTGCTGCATGACTGGAGAAGAACAAATACAAAGTTTTCAGAAATATTCTCACAGAAATATAGACCAGGTACTTAATTCCTACCAAAATGCTTTAAAGTACTATTAAAAATATGGTTAGTGAACATCTAGAAAAATAAGTGGTGATCATCAAGTGTCAGCAGGGCTTCATCAACAATGGATTATGCAAAATTAACATATTTCCTTTATTGACATAGTTACTAGATCAAAAGGCAGCATGCTACAGCAGACAGAAGGCAAGTCTTGGAAATGTCTTGGAAGACATAGGTTCAAGATCTAACTCTAACATGTATTAACCATATAGCCACGGGCAAGTCATTTAAGTTTTCCAGATTGGTAGCCAACTCTACAGCTATAAATTATAGAAAATTTCTTGATCATTTCCACACTAGCAAATTTTTATACTGAAGTCATATGCCAACACCAAAAAGGGGGGGGGGCAAAAAAAACAAGGAAAAAACAAACAAAAAGAAAAACCAACAGATTTCTAGATCAGGAGAATGATATGTCTTACCTAGAGTTCAGCAATTAATTTGATAAAGTCTCTCACGTGATCCTTGAAAACAATAAAGAACAATGTGAGCAGGATGGAGGATCTTTAAAAATCCAGAGAAGTATATATTTATTCTAGATAACTATAAGGGACCCCTGGATCATTTAGAGAAGGAGGATGCCGTGGTCAGAACTGTGATTTGGGAATATCACTTTGGTAGCTTTGTGAAGAATGGATTCAGCAATAAGAGGAATATGAGGCAAAGAGCTAAATAAGGATGCTATTCTAATAGGAGAAATGAAGGTGAACTGAACTGGGGTGGTATGGGCGAGTGGAGAAAAGCTAGTTGTGAGAGGTTTTGGAGGCAGACTCCACAAGACTTGGAGGATATGGGAGGACATGAAAGGGGGAAATGATTCAGGTTTTAAAACTTAGGGCCTGGAATGATTATGGCCCCAATGCCAGAATATTTTTCAAAATTTATACTACCCCAAATCTAGTTGACTATTGGGCTGCCTGTGTCCCAGCTGCCGTTCTGTTGTTTGTTTCTCCACTGCGGTAGCTATTAACAAAACACAATTCTAATATAACTTCCCTCAGTCAGTCGGTACTAACTGCCAAACTGAAATCACTGAAATGAGAGCTGGGAGAATATCAATTTTGGGGAGTATAAATAGCTCTATAGTCAGTTAATAGTTTCACTCCATGTCAGGTACCTGGAGTGATGGCCAAATGTACTCTGGGAAAGAATATGAAAGGCATTATGGAGGAAAAATTAGTGAGACTTAGCAACCCTTTTGATATCAGATACTAGGGCATTAGGGACAGAGAGTTAGGAGTCAAGGATGTCTCTGAGGTTTTGACCTGAGAGCCTGGAAAGATGGTGGTAGCTTAGTCAGAAGGGGGTCAGGGGTAGAGTTGAGAAGAGTTGGGATTTGGGAGGAAAAACTGACTAAGCTCAGTCTGGGAAATGTTGAGTCCAATGTGCCTATGGATATCTAGTTGGAAATGTCAAGTGGGTATTTAGTAGCGTAAGACAGGATCTTAGGAGATTTGGAAATTATCTCAATGGAGATAATTGATCCCACAAAAGTTGTTGAAATCACTCAGAAAGCTATAGAGAGAAGAGGTCCTAAAACAGAGCCTTGAATAGATGAACAGTTAGGGGTTCTGACATGCATGATGACCCAGAAAAGGCGAATGAGGTTTGGCCAGATAGGTGGAAGGTGAAAGAAGAGAGAAGAGTCATAAAAATTAGAAAGGAAAGGTTTTGCAGGAGAAAAGGGTGGTCAACAATGATATCATGATGCTGAGAAGTCAAGAAGGATTAAAATTAAGAAGAGCCATTGTATTTGCCATGGTAGCTAGATGGTGAAGTAAATAGAGTGCTGGAGTCAGGAAGACTCCTCTTTCTGAGGTCAAATCTGAGCTCAGACACTAACTAGCTGCGTGATCCTGGGCAAGTCATTTAACCCTGTTTGACTCAGTTCATCCTCTGCAAATGAGCTTGAGAAAGAAATGACAAACCACTCCACCATCTTTGCCAAGAACTCCCCACATCCACCAAATGGGATCATGAAGTTGGACATGACTGAACCACAACATATATATTACACATAATAAATATGCTTATGTATGTATTTACATAATACTTTGTAAACCTTAAAACATTGTTCAAATATCTATTATTTTCTGTTCAAGGAAATATAATCTGTATTGCAATTGACATTTTTGTATTGAAAACAATGGTATAACATTTTTACTTCAAATTAGTTTGCCATTTTAAGTTACTGAGAAAATTTGGAATGCTAGGATTTAGGTCAGCTGTTATTAAAAAACAAAACAAAACAAAAATTATAGGCCTTTTTCTATCAATAAACAGAGTCTCTCTCTCTCTCTCTCTCTCTCTCTCTCTCTCTCTCTCTCTCTCTCTCTCTCTTTCTCCCTCAGGTTTATTACCTCTTCCAAGTTGTTAATATAGCAATTACTACACCAAAAAAGGATTTAGCTGAAAGACTTTAGTGGTCTGGAGGAACTATTTAGTTTAATTCTTTTGACAAATATGCTCAGGCTATATTATGTTTGAATAATAAACTAATTAGCAATAACTTACAATTGCCTCCAATAACAATAAGGCTGCCATAATGAATAATACTTTCAAGGTAAAATAATCTTAGTTTTACTATGTTCTTCTGAATTGTCAAATAATAATTGTCACAGAGGATATTGTGATCCATGGTGTTAAGCAAATTTCTTAACATAGACTCAGTGCCCTTCTTTAGGCTAAAGCTAACTTCTATTAACTTCGGAGAGAAGCTGGCCAACAAAAGAGGAAAAAAAAATGGATGTAAGCTTAGGAAGTTTGGCTTTTCCACCTCTATACTAATTTAATTAACCCCACCTTCAAAAATATCTTTTTGGTTGAATAGCAAAACTGTCATATGGGTAATAATAAAAATGATTATTATATGTGAGTGATGTAAAAGAAATCACAACATTTTTGAACCCCCATCATAGCTTGCTGCTTGAGCCAGCACCAAAACAATACGGATATAGTATTTCTTTCAAAATCAGTGATTCTTTTCTCCTGACATGAATTTTTATGTCCACCTTTCACATTATAGCCTATTCCTTGGCCACGTTGATAATCTTCCTTTTTGCCCTTTTCCTATGGTTCTGAAAGTCACTGAAGTAACTTCAGGGTGCTTTCTTATCCTAGACTCACAAATATTGGAAGCTAAAGAGAAGGTTGCAGTAAAACAAATGTTTATTCACCAAGCTAGATTCTCCTTCTTATGAAAAATATTGTACTTTCAGGTAGGCCTAAATACACAGCATTATGATAGAAAAAATTAAGCTTCCTAAGTTAAAGTGACATAATTCATTGCCAATTTAAAACTGTAAGGGCTATTTTACAAAAGATAAATACAATGGCCAGAATCAAATTTAGTGAATGCAGCCTAAATAGGTTATAATTCTTAATGCAAATGACATGGCATTATCATGGTCAGAGATAATTTACATTTTACTTTTGGAATAATAATTACCAAGAAATGAGGGAAGTTTAAATGTGTCTTCACTTTAAAATGCCTTAGGGACAAAGTACAACATCATTAATACTATTAATAAATATTTTAAACAGTGGATGATAATTCATCAAAATATGAGAAAAGTTCTTTGAGTTTAAACAATTGGAAAACAATTGCATAAAACAAAGGTGTTACAGTTATTTTTTTAGATAAGTGTAGACCTTATCTCATTTCCCAAATATCCCTTTATAATCCATATGCCATACAAACTAACTAGGAAAAAACAAAAAACAAGAAGAAAAAAACAAAAGAAAACAAAACAAAAAACCTGGACAGCTTAATCTCACCTCAGTCCCCACATCTAAGATTATGAGTGTACCTGAACAATTGAAAGATGTTTTACTCTTACAAGAGTAAGGAGTACTCTTCTATGAAAATATTTGAGGTTTAAAATACTCCCACATTTGTTCTCAAAAAGAAAGAAAAAGAAAGAAAAAAGAAAAAGAAAGAAAGAAAGAAAAAGAAAAAGAACATTATCCTTTAGAAATGTGAAATGTTAACTTGGAATAAGATTTTGTGCAATATGTATACTGATCCTACTCTTTTGTACATGGACATGTATTTATGGTTAAGAAAGATCCCCCTACCTATGCGCAGGAATCTTGCGATTGCCCACAATCAGGATCACATCACAGAGCTGTTGCTGCTTCAAGTAGCTTTCCATCTTTCGGAAGGTTTGTTCAGCATGGTGAACCGCCTGATAGAATTCCTCAGAGCTACTGGAGTCCATGTCACTTGGGGGCGTGAAAGAATGGCTGGTTGCTGTCAGCCTGTGAATCACAAATGTAAGGCAATGTTGATCAAGTGCCACCAATTGTCCAGATCTAATCACTGATTTCTGCAAGCTGATAGGAGAAATCAATACATCTTTCTCTGCTTTCATCACTGCTAACACAAGACAGAAAAATCTTTTTTTTTTCCTCTACAGTTCAAAAGATTAACTTGAGTAAGCAAAAAAGGGCCAGTAAAAGTTCCATTTTTCTTGGCTAATGGAGATAACACATTTTTACATTACCTATAGGGAAATACTACGTATTAAACTTGAACCAATAAGTAATTAGCATGCTTATCCTAAAGTTAATTGCTAATGTTAGTCCCATGTGTTATTGGGAACAATTAAATTCAATATGCTTCTCATAATTGTGCTAAGAGATACCAGTTTTATTGGCTATTGTACAAAGTGCTGCTTTACAAAAGTAGGAACTTCTAACTCTGAGAGAAGTAGAATTTTCTTTTTTTCCCCCCAAGATTAACAATTAAATTTAACAGGGCACTATAGTCACTTGCCTTATCTTGTTTTGTAGTACTGATACTCCACAATTTTAGAATTAAGCTTCCGTCTTGACTCTTGTTATTCCAAAAAATTTGTAAGGGCAGAAACAGGGGAAAAGGATATCTTTGCTAAAGGGAAAAACAACTAAAAAAATGGATAAAAATGGGAACCAAGGGGACAATATACACTGATATGGTTTCTCAGTGGAGTGTAATTTTCACATTCTTGGAGTGGCTAATTTAACCAAATCATATGAGCCTCTCCTTAAAGTCTTAATGTTACAAACCTTCCCAAATAAAATAGAAATAATACAGAATTAAAATCTATCTGCAGTAGCCTAACTCATTCAAAATCTAACTTGTCCAAAGAGGAATTTTCAAAAAAGCAGTTACAAGTGGCATTCATTTCCCATCATTTGCTTCACATCATCAGCTTCGGGTATCGTATATCAGAGGTAAGATATCTCAAATAGTTAATCACATAGCAATAATGCTACACACTCAGTCTCCAAGGCCTGTACTTTCAATACTGAAATTGCTCTGATGTTACTGGTGCCACCCAGGGGAAATCAAGTCAAGACTGAAATAGGCTTAAAAAGTCTCCAACTGTCCCCCAAGGATCAACTCTGCTCATAGGATAGAATCCAGTCAGATGAATGCCCATGCCTCAGGTGGTAATGGGCTCTACACTCAGCCACAGGATTCTGATCAATTTTGTGGGATGAGGGATGGAACAAGAGAGGCTTGAAGTCTAAGAGAACTAGAAGTCTAATCTTAATCTTCTCTAATAATGCTATAGAGGGAATTCATGTCCAGGTATTATATAGGTTGGACTAGATGGTTTCTGAGGTTATTGACAACTCTGAGATTCTATAATCATGGTGGACATTGATAAACTGTATTCCCCACCAAAACAAGCAAACAAACAAAATCTATGTAGTAGGTAGTGCAAATATTATCATCCCCATTCAAAGATGAAGCTAGATAAGTTATGTGATTTGTCCATGTTACACAAACAGTAGCGCAGCTAATCAATCAGTAAGCACCTACTATATGTCAGGCACTCTGGTAAGGCCTGTGGATACAAAGAAAGGCAAAAACCAGTTCCTGCCTTCAAGGTGCTCACAGTCCACTGGAGCGAACAAGTATGTACATACAAAATACATATAGGATAAGCTACAACATTTGAATTAAACCTCACTCCCTCTACATCCAGCACACACTTTCCAGTACAACATGTAGCCTCTTCTAATTAATTTGGCTGTTTGGTGCAGACTTTTGGCAGTGACACTAAAGCAAATTGTGAAAACTTGAGAAAATTTTCTTTCTCCAAATTGGTTTTAGAAATTATAGTATATCAAATATGAGTGAATTTGAAAGTAATGTTTGCTTTGCTTTCAAAAGCTTTTTTTTTTTAATTCTTGGAATAAACTTCAGGACTGATACAGACTTTAAACTTCAGGAATGGTATAGACTCTTTAGGAGAAATTGTATACTTAAGAATTATCATGGAGATAATAATTCTCAAGCTGTGTAGACTCTTGTCAATGTATCCATAATATTTATTAAGCATCCACTGCATACAGAACTTAAGTGCTGAGGGAATTATCAAGTTTAAATCAGGCACATAAAATAGCTCAAGTAGCTTACACTCCAATAGATGGATAAAGTGATTTAAACCAAGAACAGCCTCATTGGCACCAGAATGTTAACAGTTTGCCAGTAGCTTATCAGGCAGGCTACCAATTGTCTATAAGATCAAAATTTTTAGAACTCCCTAAAAAGTATGCCAAAATCTTCCAGAATAAAAAAAAATCTGAATATAAAGAAGCATTTTAGCCCCACTATGATAATTCAATTGTAATGGCCAGAAAACACAGTTAACCTTAAAAAATGAAATTTTGCCTTCAAATTCACTAGAATTTGATATACTTTCACTTCAAAAAGTCAAATGAAACAGAGGCAGTTTCCTTAAGAATACCCAAGGTTTTCTCATTTGAATATCATTAAAGGCAAGAAAGAGGGCAAGAAAGGACAAGAAAGATTTTGGAAATGATAGGTAAGAAAAAAAATGAGTAAAATAAGTCAAAGAAATTTTCTGAGTAGAAAACAAATGTCATCAGGAAACACCATTATTATAAATAAAAATAAATATGTTATTCCCACAAATAGCTAAAACTGTGAAAATTGGTTTATTCGAGTTATAGGATTTTATTTATAACCATAAAATTATGCAGAGATTATGTGGACTTTCAATAAATTCTGAATGCTACTACTAAAATCAACTACTTAAAAATTAGCTGAATAAAATGCAATGTAAATTAGGATAAATCAAAACACAAAATTGTATTCCAGGTATCTAAATAAAACATATAATTTAAAATCTAAGAAAAATCTTACTAAAAGTCTTTTAATCAACTAATTTTACTTAATATAAACAAAAGATATGTCTACAGAATTTCCCTTGCAATGATTTCCATCACTACCATATTTTGTATATATCAAATAGTTTATAGCTGAGTGATCTATTATATGAAAATGACACAGACAATACAGAGAAGATAGGCACTCCCTCTTCCATAGACAAGATACTCTAAGCACCAGGCATTAATGAAAGAACTTGAAATTGCAGGGACATTCCTAATTTTAACACTAGAAAATCCTACAGTAATAGGCCTTTGATTGTTGCTCTGATTGTTATAGAGGAGTACAGTCCACTAGTTTATGATACTAAGTTTCTAAAATCTATTTGTTATCTACTAATACCTGAAATTATGTTGAACTGGGGCCCGTTCCTGGGTTCTACTGTCTTTCTTGGGCTTTTTATTACTATTACTACAAAATTTCTTCTTCTGTATGAGTTCCATTACATTGTCTGATTTTTGAAGAGTAGTTTCTATTCCTATGATGGTAGTACTGTTCTAAGACTGACTGACTTAAAAAGTGGATTTTTTTAAAGCCTTGTCTGTTTAAGGAAAAAAGAAAGGACCAATTGTGGTCTTCTTGTTAATTTTATTTTATTTTATTTTAATTTTTATTTAGTATTTTATTATTCCCTAGTTACACGGAAAAACGTTTTTAACATTCATTTTTAAAACAGTGAGTTCCAAATTCTCTCCCTTCCTCTCACCCTTCCCCTATTCAGAAGGCAAGCAATTTGATATAGGTTACACATGAGTAGTTATTCAAAACACTTCCATAATAGTCATGATGTGAAAGACTATTTCCCTCCATCCTACCCCTTTCTCCGTTTATACTCTTATCTTCTTTCATCCTGTCCTTCCTTGTAAGTGTTTTGCTTCTGACTACCCCTCCCCCAATCTGCCCTCCCTCCTATCACCCACCCTTTTCTCTGTTCCCTTTTCCCCCTACTTTCCTATAGGGTAAGATAGATTTCTATACCCAATTGAATGTGTATGTTATTCCCTCTTAGAGCCAATTCTGATGAGAGCAAGATTTACTCATTCTCTCTCACCTCCCTCCTCTACCCCTCCACTGTAAAAGCTTTTTTTGCCTCTTTTATATGAGATAATTTGTCATATTCTTTTTCTCCCTTTCTCTTTCTCCCAGTACATTCCCCTCTCACCCCTTGATTTTATTTATTTAGATACCATCCTTGCATATTCAACTCACACCTAACTACCTTAATAATGAGAAAGATCTTATGAGTTACAAATATCATCTTTCCATGTAGAAATGTAAATAGTTCAACTTATTAAAGTTCCTTATGATTTTTCTTTCCTGTTTATCGTTTCATACTTCTCTTGAGTCAAATTTTCAATTTACCTCTGGTCTTTTCTCAAAAAATGCATCAAATTGTTCTATCTTATTGAATATCTGTTTTTTCCCTTCGTTAATTATACTAAGTTTTGCTAGATTGGTGATTCTTGGTTGTGATCCTAGCTCCTTTGCCCTCCACAATATCATATTCCAAGTCCCCAATCCTTTAAAGTAGAAGCTGCCAAACCTTGTTTTATCCTGATTGTGGCTACATGATACTTAAACTGTTTCTTTCTGGCTACTTGCAATATTTTCTCCTTGACCTGGGAACCCTGGAATTTGGCTATAATATTCCTGGGAGTTTTCTTTTTGGCATTCAATTTCTATTTTACCCTCTGGTTCTAGAATATCATGGCAGTTTTCCTTGATAATTTCTTGAAAGATGATAACATGGTTTTCAGGTAGTTCAATAATCTTTCAATTATCTCTCCTGGATCTATTTTCCAGGTCAGTTGTTTTTCCAATGAGATTTCACATTGTCTTCTATTTTTTCACTCTTCTGGTTTTGTTTTATGATTTCTTGATTTCGTATAAAGTCATTAGCTTCCATTTGCTCCATTCTAATTTTTAAGGTATTATTTTCTTCAGTGAGCTTTTGAACCTCCTTTTCCATTTGGCCAATTCTGCTTTTTAAGGCATTCTCCTCATGGGCTTTTTGGACCTCTTTTGCCAATTGGTCTAGTCTATTTTTAAGTTGTTATTTTCTTCAGTATTTTTT